CCAGAAGACAGAAATCTTCATACTCATCGCCCTGATGACGGAGGCAGTATGACCTCTGAAACGTTGGTTAACATCGACCAGACTACACAGCGCAACAACCCAGAAGACAGAAATCTTCAGACTCACCGCTGTGAAAACCTCAAGTCTTACAATTCTAATTATTCTTGTTAGCGATAGTTGAAATAACGTTGCAAATCGAAACGTATTACAAAATATCATTCGTAGTGTTGTCATATTCATTCAGTTTTTCAGGAATAAATGCGAAAATCACACTTTAGCATAGTCCAAAACGACGTTTAATGTTTGTCATAATTATCTTACTGAAACGGCAAGAAATATTCTGGATAGCCTCGCCCACAAACACCGTATATTTAGGACTACGGACGTTTCGGTATCAGCCTAGAGGTAGTGGTTTCTCCCTTCAAACAAACTTATTGCTCTATAGGGAAATTGTGTTCCGAGATACATCTGTCAACACTAAAAATTACTAGTATAAAACCCCGTTAAAATTCAACGGGGAAATGATTGCTTTTATATATTCATACCTCTGTATTCCAGTGGCACTCAGTCGATAAGAGAAACTGGGTCCATGCGGAGTTTTAAGGACCTCAGCAGCACAGTGTTCTAAGAGCCTTAACTCTTTGGTAACATGACTAAAGCTGTCATTGCACACAGACGAGCTTTATTTTTTAAACAGCCGGTGGAATGACTTATGAAACGTTCTACATCAGGTGGCGATGCAAAGTGACACAGTCAGTTAAGCGGACGTAATGTCTGAGAACATCTATCTGCAGACTTGATGAGCTCGTAAAATTTAGAAAATGTCCATTTACGGAGCATGGTAGAAAACATCCAAGATGGCTCCACAACACTGTTATGCAGAACGTAAATACCAATTTTATTTTCAGATCTTTTGCAAACGACAAGCCATTTTCGTTCTTTTTAATCTAGTGGATAATTAAAAGTTTCTGCCATTATCAAAACATAAACGCTACAAGATAAGTGGCAGATATGCGCGTGTTGTCATATAAACTGTGACCCGTGTAAAATTAACGTTAGCTTCGCTATAATGCGATCAAGAAAATTCTACGATAAAGGAAAATTTCCTAGAGTAACAGATCGGCCTTTGTTATGGATTTAACGACGCTGCATAACGAGTTGAAGTTAATTCTCATCAAATCAAATTAGACGATTATGTGCACTAGACTGTAACCTAGTCAACAAGGCTATAAATATTTGCTGGACGATCGGGGATTGTTTCTCACAAGTCCACTCTTCTCGTACGTATTAGATACCAAGGGCTATTTTATAGGGAATAAAGTGGATGAAACGTGAAGCATATTCAGCTCCAGAAGGTATCGACGTTCATAATAAGATTTATGTATGTAGGATTTGTGGTTTTCAGGGCGGTGGGTCTAAAGGTGGCACAGCCGTTATACAAACATTGGCTGGCTCTCAGTTCTTCATTAGTTTTCTCATCTCGGTATTAAATTTTCAGTATTTCATAATTTATATATAATTTAGTGTACCAGTCGGGACAGTGGTAACTGACTAGCAATATCAAATAACATTCAATTATTCCAACAGTGAGAATATTTTTAGAAAGAGAAAATGTTTTTAGGACAGCATTTAGCATGACGTCACGGCTTCTAATTCCAGGCAATTCTCCGCTCAGACAGACAGTACTCTAACGTGTTTGATCGCCTACCGTGGAACAGTTCCTCGCTATTATGTTACGTTAGAGAAAATTATCAGTTTATACAATGTTTGTATAGAGCTTAATTTCATCACGTGGGCACCAAAATGTTAGAAGCTGATATTCGTTTATTTTAAAAATATAACGTTAAGTGTTAACGCATTTGCATTGTGGGTAGACTACCGTTAATGTATCACAAATTCGCAGACATGTTTACAGTCTTCAGTCTAACGATGACGTTTAATCAAGTAGAGTTTCTTTAAAACTTGGGCAAAATTTGTGGCAACACACTGTCCAACCCTGGCTATGGCATTGTTAAATAATAAACGATCTGCGGTATTATATATTTATTGCCGTATTACGGTCCCCCTTTGATGTAATAATTAGGTTGCCCGCACCACTTAGCGGCGTGCGGACCTCAAAGTGGTTTAGCTTAACTTCAAGACCTGAACTACTCGTAATAAAAGCAGCATTCTGAATCGCTTACGTCATCGGTAGCTTGTCTAACTTGTATTTGGAAAGAAACCGTAAAGCATTATTTAATATATTAACCAAATTATTTGAAACACTCGCATCTTCATTGATATAAGTACGAGATGTGCTACATTAAACCGCTTTCAATTTTAGGTTATAAATTTCATGCTCTTTAAACACAGAAATACTTTATGTCCGCAACAACAAAGCTGATTTCTTTGCTAGACT